TTACCGCCACCACCAGAAGTAACGACCATGGACCATGTATTCAATGAATGTGTTGTAGCTCGGACGTTCTGGTACTTATCACGAGAGTGTTTTCTCTATCGTATTTTTCGCACCGTCAGCCTAACAGTTATTCGAATCTAGTGTTTGCCATAGCACGCTTCGTCTTATGGAGGTCACGCTGCCGTGCGATACGGCGGGGACGTATGATACGGACGCAATATCCTCTGATTAAAGAGACGTATGTTAGGGTAGTCCAGCATTTAGAAAATGAGCTTCAGGTGCTTGGAGAGGAGGAGTTTCTGCGACGATGGTCGACAATATGTCTTATGAACACGAAGGCCGTGTAAATATGTACTGTAGTATGCTTTGATGTTGTTGCTTCTTACGGCGTTCCAGTGAAATGATCTCAATAAAACTTTTCTAGAACACCGTTCCCGTCCTTTTCAAAAATGGCATATCTAGACTTATATAAAAAAACACATATGGTTATATAAAAAATCGGACATAACTGGCGATATAAAGCGCATCAGTTTATATAAGGCATATCTGGCCAGATATGCCCAATATTTTATATATCCATATCTGGGTCTGCCACATAGGGGTATACCTGCCTCCCATATAAGGCAGATATGTCGTAATCAAATAAAGCAACCTTTATATATACTGTTGTTTTCTAGAAATATATACCAAAAGTGACTTCTCATCTGTATAAGAAAAATACCAATTCGATATTGAACATGTACCAGCTTTTATTAATTTTTACATGAGCTGCGCTTTACGCCACTCCTGATTTCGCTCAACTTGGTTCCCAGGGAAAGAGGATTCTCGACATTCGGGTAACGAATGTCGATGAAACATTAATGTCGACGAAACGTGTGTCCATGAAACGTGTATCCACGAGAAGGCGGCCGTGGAACATGTTATCATGAAACGCAGGGAGAATAAAAAAATCTGTATTCTACCTGCAGTTGTGACATGATTTCAGACGGCCAATGGCAGATGACTGCTGGTAGAATTTCGGGGAAATTATTCTCCCGGCTTCCAGGAGATAGACACGGCCTAATTCTAGAGGTAATCTGGAAGAGTACCTGTAGAAAAGCGATCAATTGTCGCGATATAGGTTGCAGCGCACTTACGTTGACGATACCGGACTTGAAAGGTGTAATCCGAGATATATCTCGACACGGGCATAACAACCACTCAAACACAAAAACAAGAAGGAAGGTGTTCATGAAGATTCAGCACGATGTAGCACAAGTTGTCATTTGTAGAACCGAACACTGAACGCATCACAAAAAATTCTTGGGCTTCTTTGAAGAAATCGTTTGTTGCCGATATACGGGTAGGACTTTCGAACGAGATACTATTTACTACAGTAGCAGAATCCACGGCAGCCACGCAGGGCGCATCATACGCCAAACTAGGTCTAGGTCCGCAACCAGGCATTCCGAGATGGCCAACGTCTAATGCGTCATCCGTCACACCGCACTTCTGCCATTTCCTGCGCACAGAGAGCGGAGTCAAGCGATAAAAAGTCTGTAGCTGATTGGTTCGGCAAGTGCGCACCTTTTGCAACGCTTTCAGTTTAGAGAGTGAGAAAAAAGGAGAGAAGGAACGGCCAAAACGGAAGTCCACACACAACAGGCTTATCTTCTGGGGCGTCCCAACAACGACCACAACGAGAGGATTTGTCACTTGTACCCAAGGTATAGTGCAGTGAATGCTATGTGTGGCCTTGGGCTTCTGGCAGGTACCGTGTTTTGGCTTATCACCAGCTTCTAGACTGCAGTCACGTCACCCTAACCCTAGACAGGATTGGCCTAAAACACGCATAGCGTCTACCCTGCTGTCAATACCGAGTGAACAGGACAGCTCTATGAAGTACAGCTTTTGAACTTCCAAAAAAGCTGTCCAGCCCAAAAGTGACCCGAAACGATGCAAGTTTGAAGATACCGTGTTTTACGCCGTATAAGCCACATTATCATTTTAAATGAAAAACTAAACTCGACTATTTTTTTGCGCACGATGTCCACAGAAAAATATATATATTTACCAATAAATGTGAAATTATGTGTAGATTGTTAGGTTCGCGTTTTTGAACTTCAAACTTCTTTACGAAAGAGTTACACATAAAAGACACTACGGACAGCACATCATCCGACTTTCAACACACGATGAATCGCCGACGCTCGCAAACGGAAGGTTGCGAGGCTGCGTGAACCGTTTCTGAAAGATGCTGCGTAGGGTACTCCGGGCGCAACGGCTTCGCAGCCGTTCGAAGGGAAAATTATTCGCGACGACGAAGTAGCGTCTTGCATCTTCAGTTAGCTAACGGTTCGTGTTTCCCGATAAATCTATCGAGGAAACATTAAAAAAAATTAGTTTTTTTTTATAGATGGATTTAGCGGGAAAATTGACGTCACGTGACATAAGCACCAATTCAATTTCCCGCTAAATTTAGCGGGGCGGTTACACCGATGCCGACGGCGACGCCGGCACCGCTTAACGTGGAAACGGGTGCCTAAGAGCTGCGATCTAAAATCCATTATTTGATTAACTCGCTTTCCGATCTTAGGCACTTCGTAAGATTGTTACACGTGAAACATGCAACCAAATTTCATTTTTCTTTCAATCTTCAAAATGAGCAATTGATTAATTGTCCAAATATCTGGAATTACTTCACTTTAAGGATGTTAACAATAGTTAACCAATTACATGAGACTCATGCAATATAGATAAATCAACTAGTGTCTTCGCAAGCACATATGACCTTTTTCTTGCACGACCGAAATGGGCCCATATATTATTATCAGGGGATATATTTTACCCATATATATCGTGAACGGGCTGTATATGGCAGTATTTGAGCTTTTCTACAGCGATATATGGCGATATATGGCCGTAATTATGCACTTCTATTGCCATATATGGCAGTATTTGCACACTTATATGGCAATATCTGGCCGTATTTTCTCTTATATATGGCGGTAAATGCCATATTTGACTCCTTATATTATCATATATGGCCATACATAAAATATGTCAGGGCCATATCAGACATTTTCGTACGGGGTGATTCCCCGAGTGCGGGCCGGGGCACTTAGGGGATTTAGCAATTGGTCTATTGTGGAGAATAAAAAGATATTAAGTGCTGATTTCAGGCTTGTTGTCTTGTTTTGATATGCCTGGCCAGATCTGGAATTTCCATACTTAGCCAGATCTCGGATTTCCATACCTGACCAGAGATATCGGACTATATCTAGCATTATGAGGCTATATCTAGCAGATATACCATACCAGGTTATATGTGGCCAATCTTTGATATGTGCTCTGCCTGAAATCTTAAGATCTGGCCAGATACATTTTTTTGTAACGGCTACCGCACCGTAGTCAAGACGCGATCGTGCAAGCGCATGGTATAACTGCTGGATACATTTTCTGTCAGACCCCCAGATTTGCGAGATAAATCTTTCAAAAGGTTTGTGGAATGAATGCATGTTTGGTTCAGCATTTTCAGGTGGGAAACAAAATTAAGGTTTCTATCAAATATTACATAAAAGAAATCTGCGCTCTTTGCTAACAGGAATAGGGGTTCCATTTTATTCCAGGGATGGATCCAAGGACAGCCCGCGAAGTAAAGAAGGCACACAGACCGTTTTTAAAGCAAAGAAATTGAACAGATTGTCGTTGGCCCACTTGGGCACCTTGGTTATTGCTAACTGCAACTGGCGCTCACAACTAGAAAGGTTAAAAGAGGATGATGAAATCTTTATATCATCCGCATCAAGAGGATATGAAGTAGAAGGTGGCAGCAGTCGTGCTAGTGAATTCATTGTTATCAAAAACGAGGTCATACTTAAAACATCCCCTTGAGCGACTCCGTTTTCTTGAACAAAGAAATCAGATAGGACTGAGCCAAGACGAACTGAAGAGTCCTGTCTGTCAGATATTACCTTATGCATCGCAGCATACGGTCACAGATGTTGCAAGCATAGACGTTTCGAAGAATCCCATACCTCCATGTTGTGTCATATGTCTTCTCTAAATAAAAAAAAATTAAAAAAACGCAACACAGTGCTGCCTGTTAATAAATGCCTTGCGTATTACAGCTTCCACGCGAACTAAGCGGTCATGGATAGATCGACCTTGGCGGAAGCCACATTCATTGTTACCAAAGACCCCAGGCACGTAGCCGGGGGGGGGGGGGGGGCGCCTTGGGCCCGCCCCCCCCAAATCTTTCATTTTGCTGAGGCCTCCTCTGTCCCCTCCCCCTCATACAGCATTTTGTCATAGGCGCCCCCCCCCCCCCCCCCCCCCGAAACAAAATCCTGGCTACGTGCTTTAATGGCCCTCTGGTTTTCTAGCACATACACTAGTCGCCGCCTGGTTATAAGCCTTTCAAACGTTTTCCCGAGGCAGCTTGTCAGTGTAATTGGGCGCTAGCTTAATGATTGTGAGGGGCCTTTATTAGGCTTTAGAAGGGAGATGATATGTTCAAGTCTCGAAGCCTGAGGGAAACACGCCTTTTCCCACCAAATATTGAAAAACAGGAGATGGTTTTCAAGGAATTGCTGAGAAAGGCTGCAAAGCATTTCATAGCGGGGGAGGGGGAGGGAAGGGGGGGAGGGGGCAAAGCCCGAACATAACCGGCTTGAAGGATTGCAGACGAACTGAGCGAGGGGTCACCCGAGCTCGTATGGTTTACTCCTTTGACAGGAGCTGCATGGGCACCATGCCTTCGGTAGGGGGGCCCTCTTCAACGAGCAAGAGAGAGAAACTCGCTCCAGGGTGCAGGCGCGGCTGCTGCTGGCCTGTCCTTAGATAAAAAAATCAGCACGCGCGCTACCACCAGGGACTGCAGGAAGCTGCTGCTGCCCCTGTAGGAGAGCTGGGGCCCTGAGGTCGGCCGTCAAGATCTCGGGAGAGACTAGGATGGCGCTCGACTCTGGTTTCGCGTACCTGTAAATTGTTCTGTTGCTCTGTGTTCTTGTTTCACTTACCTGTAAATTCCTAATCAGAGTCGGGTCTTCGGGAACCCGGCGATCCACGACCACGACGACGTCAACGTATCCCTGGTCTTCAAGACGTATCTTAGAACCGAGGACGACGCAGCAGTAAATCACGACCAGGAGCTGCCCTAACGCTGTCCTGCGGGACGGCCCCATGTTCCTAGAATTAGAAACGAAACCTGGTCTTAAAGGATTCTGAAAGCGAAATATTCGCACCTTATATTGCGCACGTTCTTACACTCCACATGGTTAAAATCAGCGAGCAACGTGAGGAAACTAGAAAAATACAGGAGACAGGATAGACTCTGATCTCACAACTCAATATTTCATCCAGAAGACAAAAAGAAAGAAGACATGTAACCAACAGGCACGTGCTCATGGCACGATAACTGTAGGGCACTGAGCGGTGGCTTCAGCCTTCCACCGGGGCTTCAGGGCATCGAAGATGCGCTGAAGCCATCGCATTGAGTAACGAGCGGGATTCACCCGCTTGTCACTCAATAGGCAAATTTCGCTACACAAACCTGTTTCAGAAACGCTCGAGAGTATTCATTCGTTTGGAGGTTAATTTTGAAAACATAATGGAGGTTGTATTGAACCATGGTTAAAAGCGCTAAAAAAGACGTACACAAAATAGAAGACAAACACGGGCGCTACTCACAACCGTATTGAGAAAGGAAGATGGAAATGCATATATATATATATATATATATATACATATATAGACAACACGGGCACTTCACGTCATCGTACGTGGTCTCCGAGGAGGATATAAACGAATATGTGCAGATGAATGAACCGTACTTAATCCAATGAATCAAAGAATCCAAGTTTTCAGGAACCCGCCGAAAGTCAAAAAACGGCGGAGCCAGGATTTGAACTCTGGGCCTCCCAATGTCCGGTCGGGTGTGCTAACCTTTTCATTCATTCATTCATTCATTCATTCATCTGCACATATTCGTATATATATATATATATATATACGAATTATATATATATATATATATATACTGTATATATATATATATATATATATATATATATATATATATATACTGTATATATATATATATATATATATACAGGATACACTTATCGTCACCCAGGCTCCTCGTGTGCGAGATACAGGAGCATAAACCCGTTTACATATATTTATCGAAAAAACGAATCTCAGCATTATACAATGCTATTGACGAGTGGCTGACGCACTGGGTCCCCTCTTCTCGATAAAATATGCCTCTTGCAGTTCGCGTGCCCTTTGAATTCTGCTTCTACCGAGAATCTTGAAATCGCCGAAGCGTGGCTCGCATTTGCAGGCCCCACAGTGCGCGGGCAAATGTGCCCCGTCATGTGTCTTTAAATTTTGCGCGTGCTCTCTTAAACGGTCATTCGTGCATCTTCCCGTTTGTCCAACGTAATATTTTCCACATGTTAGGGGAATTTCATGCACGACCCCTGTGACGCATTTGATGTACGGCCTGGCGTGCTTCATGCCATATCCTCGCTCGTTCCTGCTTTCTTTAGTAATTCGAAGGTAAAGTTGGCCGAGTTTCTTTGGCGCTGAAAACACGAGCGGTACTCCGTACCTGTTCCCAACCTTCTTGAGGTTGTGCGCCATTTTGTGTACATATGGTACAACCTCTGGCCTCATATTGCTCAGTGCCGACTGCGTCACTTTCCTGGTTAGTGGCCTTTTACTTTCTGTAGGGTGGCCTCTGCCACACTCATCAAGACCGTTTGAGGGAAGCCCGCTGACAATAGTCTAGTCAATTGGTTGTGGGAGTTGGCCTGCATGCGGTGAGCACACGACTTCTTGATAACGGACTCTAGGCCCAGAGCGTTGCAATTCCTCTCTTTACCACCTTAGATTGCGCAGAGTCATATGGCAAAAGCGCTTTTTTGGAATCGTGGGGTATACATCCAACACACGTGTCGCTCCGGCAACGTAAAGCTCAGGTATAAAAACTGTAGGTGATCCTTGTTAGAAAGTTCATGTGTAAAATGTAGGCCCTTACCATGTCGTCTAAAAGCAACTAAGACTGAGACCACCCCATGTTGGTACACCAAAGATGTTTGTTTTCTGAAAACAATCAAAAAGTCGTCTACGTATCTAAAAACTTTAAAAACAATAATATCATTGAGTACTGGCTCAAGCGTCTGATCAATTGTTGCTAAAATATATTACAAAATACGGGTGCCACACATGATCCGATACAGGTACCCTTTTTCTGCAAACAAAGTTTATCGTTAAAAGCAATAAACGTGCTGTTCAGATACGCTTCAAGCAAGATTAAAAAATTGTCAATCGTCACTCCTGCTGTGTTCTGGAAGGGGATAACACCATTCTTATCGATGCACGCCCTAACTGCCTCGAACAGTTCACGGTGAGGGACTGAATAGAACAAATCTTCACTATCATTAAAACTTGGGTTTGGGCTAGTTGGTCCATTACTGAATAAAAGGTTAAAAAGCGCGAACAAACGAGGACAATAAAGAAACACGGACGACAGGACAGGCGCTTCACTCTCAACTGGTTTTTATTAACACCATTGTCACCTATATATACACATTGCCCAAACCACATCGGATTCAATGGCGACAATCAGAGCGAACCTTCCAGAAACACCATCTCACTCTGGAGCAATCACAAAGACGGAGCGCTGACGCAATTGTTTTCTTTCTTTTTTATGTAGAATGCCTCTATAATCTCTCTTTCCGTTTTTTCCTTTGCCTTCCTTAAAATCTTTGTGCCAGTCAGGTCAGGTTTACATCCACATCGCGCACAATGGTCAGCGAGATGCCCCCCCGCGTTGTTGCGCACACACAAATTATGTTCACGTGCTCTATCATTGAAGCAGCGCCCAGTCTGCCCAATGTAGACTCTGCCACAACTAAACGGAATCTCGTACACCACATTGGTGACGCACGCAGTATATTGCACCGCGTGTTTCTTGGAGCACGGTGCCTTTTTCTGCCTTGTCAACATCGGACATATCCTGGCAAGTTTACACGGTGCAGAAAAAACCACGTTAATGTCGTATCTACCAGCTACCTTTTTTAGATTATGAGATAGGGTATGCATGTACGGAATGACTTGCACTCGTTTCTTTTCTTTACGTGCCTCGCTGCCTTTTTTACTTCTTTTTAGCTTTTGAAGAAGGCTCTCACAACGACTAGAGATTAGATTAGGGGGGTACATCGCGTCTGTTAACCTTTTTGATTGTCGTTCAAAACTGATTTTCATCTGGTGGTTGCAACTTTTTTCCAGAGCCGCACTTAGGCATGTCAAGGCTATACCCCTCTTTACCAGTTTAGAGTGAGCACTTTTAAACAACACCAGGCTTTTCTTTGTGCGCGGACAATACTGCCAACAGACATGTTCTTCAGAAAAAAGGATCAAAATGTCTAAAAACTGAATGCAGTTATTCACAGGCAATTCCCAGGTAAAATTAAGTCCGCCTGATACCTCCCCTGAAAAACATGTCTGTTGGCAGTATTGTCCGCGCACTAAGAAAAGCCTGGTGTTGTTTAAAAGTGCTCACTCTAAACTGGTAAAGAGGGGAATAGCCTTGACATGTCTAAGTGCGGCTCTGGGAAAAAGTTGCAACCACCAGATGAAAATCAGTTTTGAACGACAATCAAAAAGGTTAACAGACGCGGGGTACCCCCCTAATCTAATCTCTAGTCGTTGTGAGAGCCTTCTTCAAAAGCTAAAAGAAGTAAAAAAGGCAGCGAGGCACGTAAAGAAAAGAAACGAGTGCAAGTCATTCCGTACATGCATACCCTATCTCATAATTTAAAAAAGGTAGCTGGTAGATACGACATTAACGTGGTTTTTTCTGCACCGTGTAAACTTGCCAGGATATGTCCGATGTTGACAAGGCAGAAAAAGGCACCGTGCTCCAAGAAACACGCGGTGCAATATACTGCGTGCGTCACCAATGTGGTGTACGAGATTGCGTTTAGTTGTGGCAGAGTCTACATTGGGCAGACTGGGCGCTGCTTCAATGATAGAGCACGTGAACATAATTTGTGAGTGCGCAACAACGCGGGGGGCCATCTCGCTGACCATTGTGGGCGATGTGGATGTAAACCTGACCTGACTGGCACAAAGTGTTTAAGGAAGGCAAAGGAAAAAACGGAAAGAGAGATTATAGAGGCATTCTACATAAAAAAGAAAGAAAACAATTGCGTCAGCGCTCCGTCTTTGTGTTTGCTCCAGAGTGAGATGGTGTTTCTGGAAGGTTGGCTCTGATTGTCGCGATTGAATCCGATGTGGTTTGGGCAATGTGTATATATAGGTGACAATGGTGTTAATAAAAACCAGTTGAGAGTGAAGCGCCTGTCCTGTCGTCCGTGTTTCTTTATTGTCCTCGTTTGTTCGCGCTTTTTAACCTTTTCTTCACTATCAACAGAGAAGGCGTACCCTACGTTCTGGTTGCCCTCAAAGAAGCTAACAAGTTCATCTGATTTCTTTGGTAAGAAAAGGGTCCGTCACCTGAGGGCCGTTAAAAACTTCTAAGAGATAACGACTTCCATGTAGCTGCCACGTGCCTCTTTCACTAACAATGGCTCGGAACGGAATATCCGTTTTATGTGTCTTGGCTGCAAAGAACACGCTTAATGCGTCGCCTTTGCATTTGGAAATATCTTTCGCCAACTTAGCAAGTTCTAAGCTCTCACACAATTAAAAAAAAAACGCTTTTTGCTTTTGACGCTTTCACTTTTGCTGGGGTAAAATTTTTCTGTATTGACTTGGCGGTCTTTTCATTAAAACACCTTTTTGTAAAGCCACAAACCCGCCCTCCTTGTCCGACTGAAGAAGACACAGCTCATTGTCTCTGAAGTAGGTCACTACACCTTGTAAGGCACTGTTTCCGCTTCGTCCAGTGTTTGAGGGACACGACAATAAGCAGTCCACACCTTCGAGCAGGCATCGTTCTCTGTTCTCATTTCCCGCCTTGGTCGCCACCCTCCGGTTTAGAGCCACTAATGCTTGTGCTGGGACCGCAGGCTCAACCCCGTACTTGGGTCCCTCCCCGAGAAGGTTGCTTAGTAGAGGGTGGACTTAAGGTGCTAGGAGAAGTAGACATCCCCGAAGACATAAGAATAAGGAACATTTCCTACCATTCGAGTACATGTGCAATTTCATCACCCCAA